TCTCCTGGTGCAGCTTCAACCACCTGTGATCAGGATCCCTCTCCACGTGCATCCCGAGGTAGTACTTTACCTCCCCAAGGTTCTTGCACTTGAAGTTTTCCATCAGCTGCTGCTGCACTTTCTGGATCTCCTTCATGCTGCTGCTGAAGAGAAGAATGTCGTCCACGTAGACCAGAAACAGCACCAGCTTCTCCCCCTCGCCCTTGAGAAAGAGGCTCTCATCACAGCTGCTGGTCCTGAATCCCATCTCCTCTAATACAGCTGCCAACTTCTGGTACCAACAGCGTGGCGCCTGCTTCAAGCCATAGATGGACTTGTTGAGCTTGCACACCCTGCCCGTACCATCCTCATACCCAGGCGGCTGCGTCATGTACACATCCTCCTCTAAAATCCCATTCAGAAATGCCGTTGAAATATCCATCTGAATGATGAATTTCCCACTAACGGCTGCATCTGCCAACAAGATACGGAGGGTAGGGGGTTTGGCAGTGGGAGCAAAGATCTCGTTGAAGTCCTGCTTCTCCTTCTGCATAAACCCCTTCGCCACCAGCCTACTCTTGTAGATGGTGACCTGCCCCTTGTCATCGGTCTTGATCCTCAGCACCCACTTGCATTGTATCGCTTTCTTCCCATCAGGCAGCATCACCAGATCCCATGTCCCATTTTCTAGCAGGCTCTGGTACTCAGCATCCCTAGAAGCCAGCCACTTGTCCCTATCTGGTCCAGCTAGTGCCTCCTCCATGCTAGCTGGTTCCTCTGGTGCAGGGGCAAGAAAACAGTACGCAGGCTCGTCCTCCTCATCCGGGTCATAGCCATGAGGTAGAATCAGCATTGCCTCCTCGGTCCCAAGCTGCTGCTCTGCTACACCTGATCTTGCAGTCAGCTTCTTAGTAGCCATACGGGTGCGTCCTGGCCTAGAGACGGGTGTCTCCCATCCCCTCATAACGATACCCTTCGGCTTCTTAGTTTTCCCCTGCTGCTGCTCTCCTCCCTTGGATCCAGCAGCTTCACTAGTGCTGCCGCCACTTTCCACACCATTTTCTCCACCAGCAGGTGCCTCCTGTACCTTCTCTCCATCACCATTTCCCGCAGCTGCCTCCTCTCCCTCCTCCCACACACTAGGAGTCAGGTCCAGCTGCATGGTGATCTGCTCCATCTGCTGGGACACCTGGGCCTCCGGCTGTTTCTCCCAGCTCCCATACATCATGCCCTCAATGAATTTCACATCCCTGCTGTCAAACAATACACCCTTGGATGGTTCCCACAGCAGCCATCCCTTGCTCTCAGCAGCCAGCCCCAAATGCACACACCAGATTGCACTTGCCCCCAACTTACTGCGGTAGGTCTTGGGGACGTGGGCGACTGCCATGCAACCGAACACCCTCAGCATGTCCACCGGCGGCTTCCTCCCAAGCCACCTCTCCAACGGCACCCACGAGTCATCCCCAACCTTAGTGAGCACCCTGTTCCTAGCGACGGTGGCGTGCCGGACAGCATGGGGCCACATCGAGTTGCTCAGCCCAGATTCTATGAGCAGCGCCCTAGCTGATTCCAGAATTGTCCGGTTCGCCCGTTCTGCTACGCCGTTCGACTGTGGGGTGTAAGCCGTTGTCAGCTCTCTCTGGATGCCCTGCTTCTTGAGCCAGGCCGTCATTTCAGCTCCAAGGAACTCACCACCCCGGTCTGTCCTAATCCGCTTCACTACACACTCCGCTTGCTTCTCCACGAATGGCAGCCAATCGTCCCGAATCGTGGAGGCGGCGTGGTCCTTCTGCTTCAGCGGATACGCCCACATCAGCCTGCTCCAGTCATCCACTATGGTTAGGAAATACCGCTCCCCCTTGTGCCCTTGCACCGGCAGCGGCCCCACCAAGTCCATGTGGACTAGCTCCAACGGCTTTTTGCTCCTGCCAGCCACACTATGGAAGGGGAAACGGGTGAACTTTGAAAGCAAACAGATTTCACAGTTGTCATCGGGTGGCTGTCCATTCAGCTTCAAACCCTTGACGGCTCCATCCTTCTCCAGCTGCTTCAATAAGGGCATTGCCACATGCCCCAAGCGTTGGTGTGCCGTTGCCCAATCTGTCTCCCCAGATCTGGCCGACACTTTCACGCCAACCCCTCCAACGGCGTTGCATTCCCCCTGGGATGCAGACCCCTCTCTAGCCTGCCCCCCACCGTGCCACGCCAACGCCGGCAGCTGCCACCGTGTACACGTCCTTGCTCTCGTGCAGATCCCAAAGCACCCAATTGCCCAGCTGCCCCTTGTACGTGCGAGCCCCATCCGTGCTAGTGCTCACCCCAGCCTTGGCAAGCTTACGGAGGGAGATGAGGTTGGCCTTGAGGTCGGGAACGAGGAGAACGTCGTGCAGCACCACCGGCTTGCCATCCGCTCCCTTGAACGCAGCTCGTCCCGCACCAGCCACCTTCAGCGCGTGTCCAGAGGCGGAGCACACCTCATTGATCGGTGCAGCGCGCACGTCGTCCAGCAGGTCCTTGCGTGGCGTCATCGTCCATGCAGCGCCCGTGTCCAACACCCAATAGTCCAGGAGGTGCAGCTCTGCTCCAACCTTGGCAGATGCGTCTCCTTGCTCCCCCTTGTCTCCCACATGGAAGAACTGGCCTGCGGTGCGCTCCTTCTTCTTCTCCGCACCACCGTTGCTCTTCGGGGTGTTGTCGGACGAATCAGCGACCATGTTCGTGCCGTTTTTCTGGTTCCTTCGCGCGCCGCCATCCTGTTGACGATTCTGGGGGGTCCATCCATCGGGTTTCTTATAGCACAAAAACCAGGGATGCCCCTCCTTCTCACAATACCGTTTCATTTTGCCACCAGCACCCGACTTGCCCCCACGTCCAGATTTCGCACCGCGACCCCAACCGGTACCTCCTTGTTGGTCGTTGGAGTCGTCGTCCTTCTTTGCACCGCGCCCAGCACCACCGAAGCCACGTCCTCTGCCACGTCGGTTCCCTTGCATTCCGTAGCCGCTGCTGCCGTCGTCTCCACCCCTTAGTTGGCGGCGACGGAAGTCCTCCTCCAGAATCTTCGTCCGCACCCACTCGAGCGTCCACGAGCTCTGGTTCTGCGGCAGGCTCAATCCGCTCGTGAATTGAAGCCACGATTCCGGCAGCAGCGAGAGCATCTTCAGGCACTTGGTCTGCTCCGGGTAGGTGATTTCCGCGGTCGCCAACTTCGCGTAGAGGTCGCGCATCTTGTCCAGGACAGGTTGCACCGGCTCTCCCTCGCTCAGGCGCAACGCGGACAGCTCCCTCTCCAGCATCAACGTTGCGACAACGGAGGTCAGGGCGTGCAGCTCCTTCAACACGGTCCACGCCTTCGGACCGCATTCAACCTCCGGCAGCAGGTGCATGACGTGGTGACGCTGGTTCAGCTCCAAACTCTGCGACATCAAATAGTAGCCAGCCGAGGAGCGCTCGTCCCAATCTTCCTGCAGCGTGGGGTCACTCGGTCTAGGCTCCTCCCCAATTATTAGTTTCAGCAAACCGATCTGACGGAAATACAATTGCATTTTCCAGGCCCAGTCATCATAGCCCTCACCATTGAACTTCTTGACGGTGAAATTCTTCAGCACCTCCTTGATCAGCGAGCTCTGGTTGGTTTGCGCTCCCCTTGGCGCTGAAAGACCAGAATCTTGGCTGCCGCTACGATCTTGGGCTGAAGATTCACCAGCTCCCGCCGAGGTGTTGCCCGCCATAGCTACCTATAACGAGGATCACTATAACGCAGCTCTGATACCAGCTTGTTGGTGTAAGGGCCTAATAAACTCAAGCTATTAGGACTTAATCAAACTTAAAACCTCTCCTCGGGGTCACCTCCAAGGGTCCCTGGGTGCCTGGTACAAGACCAGCCCCTATCCTCGGGTCCGAGTTTGTAGAGAGAGGAGTTAAGAATGACTTAGCCAAAATAACAAGAGTACCTTGAACGTCGCGCAGCGTGCCGTGCAGATCATCGATTGGATTAAGCTGAGAATTCGCTATATCGAAGCTCGCTCCAAGAGCTTTAAAATGAGCCAAGTTGCCTCGCGAAAAGTTCTGCCATTACTAAGTTATGGCTCGGACAGCGTTTGCCTAGCGTTGGAGTGCTAACATACTAGCGTTGACTCGGGTAGCATTCCGCCGTCGAATAGCGCAGAAACGAAACTCCAGCGAGGAAGGAATTCGCTTGAATCAATTTGACTATATTCAGGTACAAACAGAAAAGGAATATATAGTTCTAGCTAGCAAGGACCTTGGGAATCAACCTGGGAACAACCAGGGATGATTCCAAATAATTCCAAGCAACAGAACCAACCTGGCTGGACAAAATAGCAGGTGGTAGGTTGGTAAACAACCTCTGGTTCTGTTTTTCCAACCTGGGAAAACAACAACCAGGTTCAGGTTCTAAAAACAGAACCTGTTTTGTCTTTGCCCAACCAGCCAAATGCTGGTTCCGCTGGTTTCCCCTGGCCCTGTAGCATGCAGATACAGACAAACAACATCCAACCTTCACCTAAATTGTACCTCTATAGTGCCTGCCCTACTACACTATAGTCAACCAAGCAAAACAGTACAATTTCGAGTTGGATAGAACTGAATCTGCGCAATCAATTCAAACGAACCGCAAAGCTTCCATCTTGGGTTCCTTTGCGGGCTCGTCCTCTCTGCTTGCACTGTTCATAGCGCGTACAATGTTGTGCCGAAGCGCACATTGCGCGAGTACCTGCAAATGCATCAAGCGAAAATTGCAAAAGCAAACAAACACACGAACATTCCATTCACACCCAAATGCATTCGCACACGCATTCTCGTACAAACAGACGGCAGGATGTCGTGCAATGTGCGTTTGCACCTAACAATCCGAATATCTATTGCTGGTTTCTCTCAGCAAGAGAAAGCCAGGCATATGGCATGGCATCACCTTGTCTACCTATCAAGCTCGTGATGCCCTCCACGCTTCCCTACTTCAGACCCAGTTAGCCCAACTCAGAAAGGGAGATCATGAGATGGCGGAATCCTACTGCAATAGGGCCCGCACCATCCGAGCGGAGCTGCTGACCATTGGACAGGAGGTTCACATGGCCTCGTTTGCCGATCACTTGCTGAAGGGCCTGCCACCGGAGTACGGGTTTCTTCGCCGCAAGCTTGACATTTCCAGCCCTGACATGACGGTGGAACGTGTGTGCAGCGAGGTGCTGATGGAGAAGCAGACTCTCTCCATTGAACAGAGATACAAACAGATTACCAGTGATGCATCTGCTTTCTCGGGCGGTGTGAACACGATCGTGGCTACAACAGGGGTCAACGGGAAGGAAGGAAAATGGGGAAATGAGCAGACGAACAAGAAGAAGGATGGCAAGCGGGAGAAGAAGCGAGGCCCCTTCAAGGGGCGCTGCTACAACTGCAATGAGGAGGGGCACATGGCTGCCAAGTGTCCCAACAAGAAGAAGGATGCAACGCCTGCAGCAGCCGCGAACGTAGCTAAAGGAGACGGGAAGGGCGTGGCGCTCACCGTCGGGTGTTCGGCTGCAAAGTTGCTGGCCGATGACAAGGACTTGTGGTTCCTGGACTCGGGGTGCTCCTAACTCATGACCGGCCCCAAGGAGTGGTTCACGGTGATTCGTGACCCATCTGCAACAAAATCCGTCAAAGGGTTTGATGGATCTATGCAGGAAGTCGCCGGTGTTGGTGAGGCTTTGCTGAAGGGCACTAACGGCTTGCGTGTGACCCTACATGATGTCCTCTTTGTGCCAGGAATGAAGGCCAACTTGGTCTCCCCTGGGCAGCTCACGGACAAGGGAGCAAACTGTTGGGTGCAAATGCACATTGCACGACATCCTGCCGTCTGTTTGTACGAGTATGCGTGTGCGAATGCATTTGCGTGTGAATGGTGTGTTCGTGTGTTTGTTTGCTTTCGCATTTTTCGCTTGATGCATTTGCAGGTACTCGCGCAATGTGCGCTTTGGCACAACATTGTATGCGCTATGAACAGTGCAAGCAGGAAGGACGAGCTCGCAAAGGAACCCAAGATGGAAGCTTTGCAGTTCGGTTGAGTTGATTGCGCAGATTCAGTTCTATCCAACTCGAAATTGTACTGCTTTGTTTGGTTAACTATAGTGTAGCAGGGAAGGCACTATAAGGGTACAATTTAGGTGAAGGTTGGATGTTGTTTGTCTGTATCTGCATGCTACAAGGCCAGGGGAAACCAGCGGAACCAGCATTTGGCTGGTTGGGCAAAGACAAAACAGGTTCTGTTTTTAGAACCTGAACCTGGTTGTTGTTTTCCCAGGTTGGAAAAACAGAACCAGAGGTTGTTTACCAACCTACCACCTGCTATTTTGTCCAGCCAGGTTGGTTCTGTTGCTTGGAATTATTTGGGATCATCCCTGGTTGTTCCCAGGTTGATTCCCAAGGTCCTTGCTAGCTAGAACTATTTGATCCTTCTCTGTTTGTACCTGAATATAGTCAAATTGATTCAAGCGAATTCCTTCCTCGCTGGAATTTCGTTTCTGCGCTATTCGACGGCGGAATGCTACCCGAGTCAACGCTAGTATGCTAGTGTCAGAAATAACTGAGCAGGAATGGGATGAACTAGCACAGAGTTTGGTACAAGTAGGAAACCCTAACTTTGAGTACCCCCTAAGGTGTAACCCACTACAGCCTACATAATATAAACATGCAATGTTTGACACACCCCCATAGGCGCAGTGGGAGACAACCACAGGGTCACAAGACCAGTCAAAGCAAAGCAAAGCAAGCTCAGGGTGGATCTCAAGGATTCCACACAAATTCCGAGCACAAGCAAGCGGTCACAAGACCAGTTCACATGCAGGTTTATAACAAAGCAAGAGATACAGTGATCACAACCTAGCAAAAGTAAACAAGTAGGCATATATATATAGTGATCACAGTACAAGCAAGGTCAAGAGGTAAGCAAGTGAGGCCCAGTAGGTACAAGGCCTAGCAGCGTGCAAAAGCGCTGATGGTCACAAGGCTGAAGCGCCTTGGTGAACACATCAGCAGTGTTGGCCTCCGTGGCCACGTAACGCAGACAAAGCTGATCACGCTGCTGCAGCTCTCGAGCAAGGAAGTACCGCAGAGCGATGTGCTTCATTCTGTGCTCCAGTCTGTGCTCCTCACACAAGGCAATGGCAGCCTTGTTGTCGACGTACAGCACTGGAGGAGAACGAGGCCGCTCTCCGAGGTCGGTCAGCAGGTAGGTCAGCCAGCGTAGCTCCTGAGCAGCCATGGCTGTGGCGTAGATCTCAGCCTCACAACTGGAACTGAGAACAGAAGAAGAGCGAGTAGAACGCCAAGAAACTGAGCCAGAGCCAAGGCTGAAGGTGTAACCCTGGGACGACCGCTGAGTAGCCTGGTCGTCTGCCCAAGAAGCATCTGAGTGCCCTGTGAGAACAACCCGGTCTCGCCCTCCAAGCACAAGCCCCATGCCCGACGTACTGCACAAGTAGCGCAACACCCTCTTAGCAGCATCCATGTGCTCCTTCCTGTGACGGCCAGGAGCGACATAGCGTGCTAGGATGCTAAGAGGGTATGCAAGGTCAGGTCGAGTGCAGGTCATCAGGTACATGAGGCAGCCCACAAGCTCTGGATACGGGCCACTCGGCTCTACGGACTCATCCGAAGGCAGAGCTGAGAGCGAGTGACCGGTAGGCAGAGGAGTGGACTGAGGCGAGGAGTACGTGAAGCGGAAGCGCTGGAGAACCTGCTGCACCATGTGTGACTGAGTCAGGGTGATGGTGCGCCGTGCTCTGTCCCGGGTGATCCGCAAGCCAAGATAGCTCGTCAGCTCACCCAGGTCTGTGCACGTGTGTCTCCTCTGCAGCTCCGACTTCACGTGAGCGAGTGCCGCGGTGTCAGCAGTGGCAAAGACCAAGTCGTCGACGTACACGAGGATGTAGAACGGCGGCAGCGAGGTGTCGGTGCGTAGAAACAGCGACGGGTCAGCAGTAGAGGGAGCGAACCCAAGAGCCGCAAGTGTCGTCCTCAGTGTGTCGTGCCACTCACGTGGCGCCTGGCGGAGACCGTAGACCGGCCGCTGAAGCCTCCACTGGGTGCCAGGAGGAACTGACCCAGTGAAGCCAGGGGGGCGGCGCAGCCAGATCTCCTCGTGCAGGCTGCCCTGCAAGAAAGCAGTGCTGAAGTCAAGAGAGTGAAGCTCGTAGTCGCGGTGAGCGGCTATGTGCAGCAGTACCCGAAGAGTAGTCATCTTCGGGGTGGGGGAGAAGGTCTGAAAGAAGTCTACTCCCTCTCGCTGACTGAAGCCTCGAGCCACGTAGCGCGCCTTGAAAACAGGCGGAGAACCCGGCGGCCGCTTCACCCTGAAAATCCACATGCCACTGACAATGTTCGCCCCAGGAGGGGGAACCTCGTCTACGTAGGTGCCTGTGGACTTCCAGGAGGCCATCTCTGCGTCCATGGCTGTCTGCCACTGAGAGGAGTAGGGACCCGCCATCGCCTCAGCGTAAGAGCGTGGGGTCGGGATGTCTGGTGCATCCGGGTCTCCCTCAGGGGCAACTAGCAAGGACACGAGACGGGGCAAAGCAGCAGCAAGGCAGTGGAACTCCTCCTGTCTGTCCTCAAGGACGTCCGTGCCGAGGGCACACTCACCCCCGACGGACGGAGGACAGGCAGACGCAGACTCAGACCTAGCGACAAGGCTGGCAGCGTAGTCTAGGCGACAGCGAGCAGCAAAGTCAACCAACTCAGCGACCAGGGCAGACGCAGCAGAGGACTCAAAGGTCGGGTCAGTGACAACTGTAGCGAGGAGACGCGTAACAGTGGGACTGGCAGCACGACGGGAGTCAGACTCCGGGTCAGGAAGAGTAGGAAGAGAGGACGCAGGAGGAGACGGCAGCGGGACACGCTGCGGAGCAGTGGAGGGACGTAGAGTCATGTAGTGAGTGCCAGGGACAGGAGGAGGACGCTCACGTGGGACACGACGACCAGTGCGAGCAGTACGAACAGGCGACGCAGGACGAGACTCAGGCTCACGACGCTCTGTAAGACCTCCTGTGGGACCAGCGTAAGGGGAGGGAGCAGGGAGAGGCGAGACAGGCGGTAACTGTGACTGCGGCTGGACAGGCGGAGGACACGCTACGGAGGGAGGAGGACTAAGAGGAGGAGCCTGACCAAGAACCTGCTGAAGGAGCGGTACGAAGTACGGTCGCGGCCGCGCAGCGTCTCCAGAAACAGCAGGGACACCAGTGGCAGCCCCAACGCCCGAGTCCTCAGCACCAGCAGCAGCTCCAACGCCCGGGTCCTCAGCACCAGCAGGAGCTCCAACGCCCGAGTCCTCAGCACCAGCAGCAGCACCACCGGTCGGGTCCTCAGCACCAGCAGCAGCTCCAACGCCCGGGTCCTCAGCACCAGCAGCAGGGCCACTGGTCAGGTCCTCAGCACCAGCAGCAGCGCCACCGGTCGGGTCCTCAACACCAGCAGCAGCTCCAACGCCCGGGTCCTCAGCACCAGCAGCAGCTCCAGCCCCCGGGTCCTCAGCACCAGCAGCAGCTCCAGCGTCCGGGTCCTCAGCACCAGCAACAGCACCACCGCTCGGGTCCGCAGCACCAGGAGCACCACTACGAAGACTGCAGCGCCGCGTGTACCACTCGCGGATCACCTGAATGGGGGGGAGCTCCTGGGTAGGAGGGGAAGTACCGGGACGAGCTCCAGAAGCACCTCTCCGGAGGCGGCAGTACTCGAGGTACCTCTCCTGCAGCTGCTGGGAGGAGAGGGCTCCTCCAGGTGGAGTACCCCCAGACTCAGCACCCCCAGACTCAGCACCCCCAGACTCAGCACCCCCAGACTCAGCACGTCCAGACTCAGCACCCCCAGACTCCGCACCTCCAGGCTCCGCACCTCCAGGCTCAGCACCCCCAGGCTCCGCGCCTCCAGGCTCAGCACCCCCAGGCTCCGCACCTCCAGGCTCAGCACCCCCAGACGCAGGACGCGAGTCAACAGCTACCTCGACAGGCTCACCCGGGTCTACCTGGGACACACCTGAGGGAGCGGCACCCTGAGGGGGGAGGGGGTCTGGTACCTCAGCACCTGGAGCGAGGAAGAGAGGCGGGGGGGGGAGTGGGGCAGTGCGGTAGGGGAAGAGGCGGTAGAAGGGGACGGACTCGTCAAAAGTGACGTCCTGAGAGGCCAGAACCCGGCGCGAGGTGACATGGTAAAACTGCCATCCAGGCGCGTCGGGAACAAAGCCAAGAAAGACACAGGGAACAGTGCGACGTGAGAGCTTGTCCGCAGACGTGTCGCGGACAAAGGCTCGAGATCCCCAGACCCGGAAACGCGACGCATCGCCAACCTCTCCCGTCCACCGTAGAGTCGGGGAAGTCTCCGGCAAGGAGACACGGGGCCAGAGGTTGAGCTGATGTGCTGCGTACCGGACTGCAAACGGCCACAGAAAGTGGGGAGCAGCCGCATGGGTCAGGGAGGTACGAGCGACCTCCATGACTAAGCCAATGCGGCGCTCAGCAACCCCATTCTGCTGTGGAGAGGCCGGAAGCGTGTACGACTGCTCAATGCCGTGCTCAGCACAGTAGGCTGCCAAGAGGTCGGAGGC